CCCAGACACCTGGTGTTTTTCATGAAAGCCAGTTCCTTGTATGTGCCTTCAAGTGAGCACAAGGGTCAAGATGACCTTGGAGTTTACTGTCGGCTCCCAACATCTCCCCCATCTTTTTTTTTTTGAAGAAGTGAACCCGCCTGTCTCAGGTTGGGTGGATCACCTTGTCTGCCTTACCCGTCTTTGGGAACTTCTTCAGAGCAAACCTGAAGGCCCTGTCTTAGGTTGGTCAGACTGGCACCCCCTCTTACCTGTCTCTGGCTGCAGTTCTTCTTGGGGGGAATTCATTTATTTGGAGCTTGATCTTATGTAGCTGGCTGGCTAAACTCGTAAGAGAGTTTTGCTGGGCACATATGATACAAGGAAGGCAAAGAAAAACCAACAATAAAAGTTCACCGGGGCCAAGCAATGTCATTAAAAATCCTTTAGCATTAGACAGGGAAGGGATATAGTGATGAAATTGTTCAAACAGCTCGTTAGCAATTTTGGCCACTTCAGTGTCCAGCGGTGGGGCTTGTTCTAATCCGGCAATTTGCCCGTGAAGCTGAAAAAGATCTAAAGACAAGTCATTATGGTGCCAGATACCAGTAAGATGTGCTACAACCTTTTCCCATGAGTAATTTGATTCATTATATATATGAGGAGTCACATAAATAAAATCAAACCTGGCATGACAGCGCACTCCCTGTAAAGTTCGCAGAGCACGAACTTGTTCTCCTAAAGATAATACTGACTCATATAAGGCTTCTAGTTTTTGCTCTACCTTATCATCAATCCTACCTTGAAAGTGTAGAGCCTGTGTAGTATTATGAGCAAGCTGATTAAGATAATGGGCAGTTTGTACATTTCGAATTAGTGCCACAGCAGCTGCTGCTGAGGAGGCAGCTAACGAAATAAAGGCTAGAACACCAGCTATAAGTAGCCCAACAAACCTACGAGGGCACATTAGTTCTTTCAATAGTTTTAACATCTGAATACCAGAATCTTCATACCAAGTTTCAGAAATAATTACAGGAAGCATAACAATAAGTATGGATTCAGATATGCCACAATATAAGCAATTAGTAAAAGAACAATTAGAACAGGTAACATTAAAATAATTAGCTCCTACTGAAATATTAAACGGTCCATACATAATAACATGGGGTGGGGATACACAACTCATAATATTTTTTAAAAGGGATGAATTGGGCCAAGTTATATTATTAAGTGCAGCCACCAACATCCAAACATGATGTCCAGGATGCCCATTCATCCACCACAATCCAGGATTGAACTTATTAGTAAGATTAGCTCCAGACCAATCCAATAATTGAGAATTAGTTCCAGAAATATTGGTAACAAATGGCTGTACATGCCTGCACCTTATTGGATGAGGCTCTCCTGTAGATTCTACTATCTGTGAAGAATTAATGCAACGGGGTATCCTATAGGATGGAGTAGAATTTGCATAAACTAATTGGCCACCTGGCAAGGATGTCATTTGTATATTGTACATTAGATTTTTGTCTGGGATCCAAATTTTATGAGTCATGGATTGCATAAAAGTACAGCCTGGAATGGAGCTTTTAAAATTGGTGGTAAAACATAAGGGAGTTCCAATACCTGAAGCTGAGAAATTTCCTATTTTTATATATTGGATGAAAGGATCGGGGGCTGTACCGTATGCTGATCTATTAACATGAATGAGTACTTCAACTCCCTCCCAGGTCGCTGGGTGCACAATCAGGGGATCCGGCATGTAAGCCCAATGGGTCAGCGTTTGTGTCATCTGAATGAGTCTCCACAATCCTAACGCAGCGTTCAGGCAACCAGCGGGCGTCATTTTCTTCCTGCGAGAAAACACAAACATGTCCTCGACCCCATGTTAAAACCGGATCAGGCCCATGCCAAGCACATGTTAAAGGATCCTTCCACTTTACTTGAGCAAAAGCTCTTTGTTCTCTTTTTTCCCAAAACTGCTGTGCTGCAGAAAGGCCATTACAATCTAAGTTTAAAAAATTTAGTACAAACAAAGCATGAGAAAGAATATTAACAGGAGAGATGGGGTATAATTCCCCACCTTTTAATTTAAAAATTTGATGTTTGAGCAAACCATTAGCTCATTCAACAATTCCTTGACCTTGAGGATTATAGGGAATACCGGTAGTGTAAATAATCTGATAAGATTTACAAAAATTTTGAAAAGCTTGTCCGACATATCCCGGACCATTGTCAGTTTTAATATAGTTAGGAAGTCCCATAGTGGCGAAACAACGCAGAGAATGGGAAATACAATGCTTTCTAGTCTCCCCAGCAAGGGGAGTAGCCATAATAAAATTAGAATAAGTATCTATAGTAACATGAACAAAGCGAAGCTGTCCAAAGGATGCAATATGAGTAATGTCCATTTGCCTGATCTAATTAGCAACTAAACCTCGAGGGTTAATTCCAATGGAGGGCACTGGTAAGAAAGTAGTACAACTAGGACAGGTCTTTACAATTTAACGAGCTGCCTCACGAGTGATTTGGAATTGTCGGCGTAAAGCACGACTGTTTTGATGATGAATGGCATGTGAATGCTTTGCCAAATCAATTTGAGTAAGAAAAACTTGAGTAGCCTTGTCCATAATAGCATTGCCCTCACTTAATGGACCAGGAAGTTTAGTATGGGCACGTATAAATCCAAAATGACATGGACAAATGCGAGAGTGAAGAAGAAGCTGTATTTGGCGAAAAAGAGTTTGAATAGTGGAATTTGCTGTTCCAAGAAAGGGGACAGTTTCAATAACCTGAAGTGCTCGAATAACATAATGACTATCTGAATATAAATTAAAAGCACTAGTAGGCAGAAGCGTAAGGGCCTGTAAAACTGCTTGAAGCTCAACTTCCTGGGCTGAAGAAAGACCAGTATCCCAGGATGTAGTATTTCCATCAATAGTAAGAGCAGCCATTCCATTAGATGATCCATCTGTAAACACTAAGGCAGCCATAGAAAGAGGTGATAAAGATACCACGCGAGGAAATATGAAAGTATAAGAAGAGGCAAATTGAAGCAATTTGTTAGAGGGATAATGATGTGAAATTGTGCCCATAAAGTTAGCCCAACCAATAGCCCAGGAATCACAATGAAAATAAAGCCATTCCTGCTGTTGTAATGTATAGGGAATATAAATAACATGTGGATCTCGTCCAAGATATTTACAAGATTCCACACGGCACATGTGAACTAAAGTAGCCACCAATTCATAATAAGGAGTTAATACTTTTGAGGGAGTAGCAGATAAAGAAAGCCATAGAAGGGGTCCCTTCTGCCAGAGGACCGCTGTGGGAGAATGAGGTGTAGTTAAAATATAAGCTTCCCAAGGAGCTGAATAATCAATATAATTTACATGTTGGGAAGAGATAGCAGAATTTACTATTTTTAAAGCTTCAGCCGCTTCAATTGTTAATTCTCTGAGGGATGCAGGGTTAGGGTCTCCTTTTAACAAATCAAATAAAGGTTTTAATTCAGCTGTAGATAATTTAAGATAAGGGCAAAGCCAATTAATGTCTCCCAGAAATTTCTGAAAACCATGTAAAGTACGCAAATGAGAAGTTTTAATTTGTAATTTCTGACTAGTAAAATAATAAGAACCCAAAATATAACCAAGATAAGTGAACGGAGGATGCTCTTGCACTTTATCATTGGCTACAATTAATCCAAAAGAGGTAAGGTCTAGTTTTAATTGTCCAAAAGCTTGTCGTAGTACTGTAGGGTTTAAATGATCTAACAATATATCATCCATATAATGAATAATATAAACGGAAGGAAATTTTTGGCGAGTAAAAGAAAGAGCCCGCGCTACAAACTTTGACACAAGGTGGGGCTATTTGCCATGCCTTGAGGCATTACTAACCAATGGTACCGTTTTATGGGTTCTTTAAAATTAGTAGAAGGGACACTAAATGCAAAACGTTTGCAATCTTGAGGGGCAAGGCGTATGGTATAAAAACAGTCTTTTAAATCAATTATTATTTTGTATGTATTTTGCGGAATGGCCATTGAGGAGGGCAAAACTCCAGATTTCTTTTTGATAACAAAAATAGGTGAATTCCATTGGGAAGTAGAGGGAGCTATATGGCCCAATTCCAGCTGTTCTGCACCAGCTGCTGGGCAACAATTATCTTTTCATTTGATAGGGGCCACTGATCCACCCACACCGGAGTTTTTGATAACCATGTAATAGGATCGGCGTGAGAGGCAGGATGAGCAGCAGCCCCTCTAAAAATATCCTAAACTTAGTCTATTTCGTAGGGGCTGTGGCTGAATGGGCTCTCGAATGCCTTGTTGACCAATCCCCAGTCCCCCTGAGGGTAGCAGTCCTTGATCTAAGAGTTGTCGAGTGACTACATCATTTGGACTAAACAAACTCCCATTTTTTCCATAATATCTCTCCCCCACAAATTAATGGGCAAATGATCCAGCACATAAGGCTGAAAAGTTCCAGAATGGCCCTCATCATCTTTCCAAATGAGAATAGCACTGCATTGCTGTGGATATGTAGCATGGCCAATTCCTTGTAAGGATGTGAGAGAGGCAGAAAGGGGCCAGTGAGAAGGCCAATATTTTTTAGCTATTACAGATACATCTGCTCCAGTATCCAGCACGCCTCGAAAAGGCTTTTCTTGAATATAAATTATAAGTTCAGGCCTTCCTTGTTTTATATTTTGAATCCAAAATACATCTGAGGCCCCAAAATATTTTGTGCCTCTAGGGACAGAAGTAACAGAATTTCCAACAGAGATTAAAGGAACTAGGACCAGCTGAGTTATTCTTTGCCCAGCAGAAATAGATATAACTCTAGTAGGCGCTGAGGCCTTAATTTTTATTTCTCCAGTATAGTCTTGATATATCACTCCTGGGGTAATATGTAGGCCTCTCAATGCCAAGCTACTGCGGCCTAATAACAGACCAACAATTCCTTTTGGAATGGGGTCAACTATGCCCGTAGGCAGAACTTGAACTCCCATCTCAGGAGTTAATACTGTGTAGGTGGAGGAACAGAGGTCCAATCCTGCACTTCCTGGGGTTGCTCTGAGGAGACTGGAAACCGTTTGTTGTTGTTGCTGTTGGTTGCCAGCAGGTAGGCTTGAAGCCATGAAAAGCACGGGGCTGCCCCGTTTTTTTGTTGAGGGGCCAGGGGCTGGCCCCTCTGCCAGTTTTCCGTAATCGGATGGCCAGCACTATCAAAAGCAAGTTTACAATCCCTGGCCCAATGTCTTCCCTTATTACATCGGGGGCATCTCCTTAGTTTAGCTACCTTTTTCTGATTAGGACATTGAGTTATTAGGTGGCCCATTTGGCCGCAAGAAAAACAGCTGCCCGGAGGTCCAGCAATTCGGGGACATCTTCCTCCATTTTTGCCTCCCTGGGGAGAGCGGAGGAATTCAGTTATGGTTTGTCCCTGAAGTGCAGCAGCCAGTGTGAGGCCCTGCATATAGGATGAGCCAATGTCAGCACAGAGCCGAATATAATCAGTTATTCCTCCTTTTTTTCTAAGTGGTCTAATGGCTGCTTGGCAAGCTGCATTAGCATTTTCATATGCCAATTGTACAAGAACCATACCGGCATCCCCATCTTGGATGAGACGGCCTGTTGCCTCTAGTAACCGAGAGACAAAGTCTTGATAAGGTTCATCTGGTCCTTGTCTAATTTTAGAAAGATCCTCAGTCTTATTAGAGTTAGGAAGTTTCTTCCGGGCACGCTTAGCAGTGGCATTAATCTAAGCATATGTGCCCAAAGGGTAATTTAACTGGGTATGGATGTCATTATAAGCACCTTCCCCAGCAAGCTCTGCAAAAGTAGTAGGTATATTATTAGCCCTATTAACCTCTGCTGTGGCCTGACACTGTTCCACAAATTCAGACTTCCACAACAAGTAATCTCCTCCACTAAGATAAGCTCTGGCTAATTGTTTCCAATCATTAGGGCATAAAGCATCAGTGGACAATGTTTCCAAAATTACCTGCGTAAATGGAGCCGTAGGTCCATATTGAGCGCAAGCGTTTTTCAAGTCTCTTATTTGCTTAAATTGAATAGGTTGGTGAGTTCTTTGTTGATTTTGGTCCTCCATTACAGGAAATAAATGAAAACCAGAAATATCCTCCCCTCTTTGAGCAGCCTGTGCTAATGAGAGCTGCAAGGCACTACGCCTGGGAGGGCAAATAGACCCTGTCCCAAGAGGGAATTTATCATTAGGAGGACTAGATAACTTCAAAGGCCTGGGCCGACTAAGCTGCGCAGACCGAGTAGACTGCGCCTGGGGAATAACAGGCGGAGGGGGTGGCGGAAAGAATTCTGAGTCCCCTAGAGCTGTTAAAGAGGGCTCACAAACATTCACCCTTAAAGGGGGTCGTTGCATTACTTCAATCTGTGACAATTTTTTCATAAAAGAATTTAACATTTCCTCAAAATGGACTGTTTTATCCTCAATAGGCTCATCATATATTTTTTCCTCAGTATCTGAGTCATCTGACTTTTCCTCGGCATCCGAGCCATCTGAATTTGTCTCATTTTCTGACTCAATAGATTCAACTTTTATCAATTTATTTGATTTCTTTTGGGCAGCAGTATGCACTTCTGGGTCAGGGCGAGACTCTTTACCCTGTCCAACTTTCCCAATCAACTGATTAAATTTTATTTGTTCATGTCTGGGGTCCAGAGAGTCTCAAACTAAATTCCAAAGTGTAAAAGCATCCACTGGGGTTTTTTCAGGGCCACTTGCATCATAATGCTCCTGAATCATTTTTCCTATTTTTTGCCAAGTTTCTAAACTAATGGTTCCTTCCTCCGGAAACCAGGGGCATACTTCCTCGATAAAGTGAAAGAAACTCTCTAATAGACTCTGTCCAACTTTTACTCCTAGAGCTTGAAGCATGCCCTTAAGAGCCTGCACATATAATGTACGGCTGTTTCCTTGACCAATAATTTCTCACTCCCGACTATACTATCACCCGCTTTTTTTCCGGACGTGTCCTCTTACCTTAGCAGGGTCTTCTGCCTTGATCCCAGGTTTTCAGGATCCCTGTTCAGGCACCACTTGCCGAAACCAGCCAGCAATGAAACAGACTCCTGATTTAGGGGGCGAGGATGGAAAAATAAAGACATAAGACAAAGGATGGGGTCGGGAGGTCTGTAGCTCAAGACTGCAGCCCCGTTTATTTTTAACTCTCCTTATTTATACTATTAGAAGTCAAGAGGTAACCTAAGGTCACCATAGTGCAGAAAAGCAAGGAAAATTTTAATAAAAACAAGGGTGCAGAAAGAAACAAGACAAGGTCAACTGATAGAAAGTAAAGCAAATTCTACAGACATTGCAAGGCAAACCTGGACACCTGGTGTTTTTCATGAAAGCCAGTTCCTTGTATGTGCCTTCAAGTGATCACAAGGGTCAAGATGACCTTGGAGCTTTACTGTCAGCTCCCAACAATTCTTCCATTCTCCTTTTTACAAAATTACGTGATTATAAAGCGTGATTTAGAAAGGAAGTGGCTTCACGTTCCACATGGAAGTAATGCTTTCTCTATATCCCTCCCATAAATCTACATACTGGACTTGGCTCTATTGTTTCAATGTTGTCTTATTTGTAGGGTGTTATATATTTTACTGAACCCTTGTATATAAACACAGAACTTCTCTCTCCTATTATTGCTATTGTTTCTCTTACTGTTCACTCGTGTACACTTGGGAAATTAATGCACAGCACATACACTCACAAAAAATGATCTGAGAACCTTCTCCCATTTAAAATTCACCATAATTTACAGAGCACTTAAGAACTTTGAACAAAATATACTCATGAAAAAATTATTCATAAGCAATTTAAATTTCATATTTTCTCTTTACTAAGTTGTCTCTGAAACACGTGTTACCTCATGTCCAAAAGTGTCCTTGTGCTATTTCAATGAAGCCAGAAAACATTAATTTTTTTCTGAAGTAAGCGGAAGTAACTGTTACTAGATGTGGAAATTGATCTCAGGAGAGGAATTGAGCATAGAGGAATGACAAAGTTCAAGTTAACTTTTGCTTTCCTTTTTACTGTACAAGAAAAGAATTCAAGGCTTGAAGGAAACTTTCTCCCTGACATTTTTGACTGTGTTCTTTACTCATATAAATCTTGTCTGTAAACTTGTAGTTGAGAGTATTACAAAAGGAAACAATATGCCATTTGAAGGCCAGCATAGAACAAAAGGAAATAACTTTGTTTTAAATGTTCTACTGCAAAGAAACAAAGATATGGAGGTTTTGAAGTGTCTTATGGATGGATGTTTCATTCCTGAGATGATTCTCTTGTTGCAGGACTCAGTTATCAATTCCTTTAGTCTGGTCCTGAGTTTTCCATAGCAATAAACATTTCAAAAAAGCAGGATCCAGTGAGTATGATCAGCAAATCCAGCCTCTTCTCGGACCACTACTCCTTTAAGGAGAGTCCCAAAGAAATACCCAGGGTTTATGTTGTTTGCTTCTTTGTTTACTTTGTGCTAGTTCTGGGGCTTGAACTCAGAGGCTGGACCCTGTCCCTGAACAGTTGTCTTTCTTTCCCACCTGCCCCCAAAGCTAGTACACTACTGCTTGAGCCAAAACTCCATTTCTGGTTTTTTGGTGTTTGATTTCAGATAAGAGTTTGACAGACTCTCCTGCCTGCTTGGCTTTGAACTAAGACAGTAAGAAAGCTAAGTGACATCAACTGTATCGACTTCTCTTTTGAACCAAGAAATATTAGATGAAGTTTACTATAAAGCTAATATTTGACAATTTTTAAAGAAGGGAATACGTTCATCAAAGAAGCCATAACTTAAATAACTCAGCAAGAGTAGGTGCACTGAATCCTTTGGGAAGATTAATACTGATTTCATCATTCCTTTGGGGGAAACTTAAAGCCATATTTGCACTTTTTTGTTGATTGTGGGGATTGGACACTGATCCTGGGCACTGTCTCTCAGCTCTTCAGCAAAACTTGAATGCTGTACCACTTTAGCTACAGCACCACTTCTGGGTTTCTGATGGCTAATTGAAGATAAGTGTTTCATGGACTTTCCTGACCAGGCTGGATTTGAACCACAATCCTCTGGTTTTAGCTAGGATTAGAGGCAAGAGCCACCAGCACCCTGCTCATATTTGCATTTATGTTCACTTATGACACTATGTAGACAAAGAATGGAAATTTGAACCAAATGATGACATTGCAGCTTTTCAGAAAAATTGAGGTAGCAATAAATATCTCCTCTTTTTCCATTTTGTTACATTAATGACTCATGAGCTATGGGACCCTTACATTAGCATCCTGTGACATCTGTATAGGTGTATTTAGTATTAGGAAATGTTCATAGAGAAATATAGAAAGACAGATTTTTAGAAAACAAAGGATATCAGGTATGAAAGAACAGCATAGAAGGAGACACATTTATCTAGCCTAAGAGATTTAGAATGCTAAAGCAATGAGGAATAAGCCTAGTTGATAACTAGTTCTTCAATAACCAAAAATGGTTCACTAGAACTGTTTCTGCTATACCTTAGCTACTATCATTTTTTTGCTTCCATCTGGAGTTATTCCTTCTCTTCTATCAAGACTGTTAATTAGCCTCTGCCTTTTTGGTGCTATGACTGGCCAAAATGATTTCCAAATCTCACTTAGACTACCCTTCTCATTGTGATTAGCAGTGACCCCTCTCAAAATCCTGCAATCTTTGAATTTCCAGAACTAATCTTCACCTGACATCTAAGCACATTCCTGGTATTAATTGCCCTGACCTAATGAACAAAACTTTTTTTCAACACAGAATCCTAATATAGGTACTAATTAGGGACTATTATCAAGAATCAGTATGGAAGGAACAATTATATATTCCAAGTTTGGATTCTTTACTTTGCATTTACTAACTAAATGTTCATTGTTGTTGTTGTTGCTGTTGTTGTTTTGGCAGTCCTGGGGCTGAAACTCAGCGCTTGGGAATTATTCCTCAGCTTTTTTTTTTTTTTTTTTTTTGCTCAATTCTTACCACTTGAGGCACAGGACCACTTCCAGTGTTTCTTTTTCTGTTTATGTGTTACTGAGGAATTGAAACCAGAGTTTCATGCATGCTAGGCAATCACTTTACCATGAAGCCACATTCCCAGAACTCTAAATGACTCTCTTAAGATGACGTTAAATTTTCATTCCATAACTATGTATCATAATTTTAACCAGAAACTTTTGCTAGAAAAGGTCATTGATCACAGTACTGAATCCAGTAAGGCTAGATAGACAATGAATAACTGTCACGGTCTAGCCAGGGCACAGAGGGACTTACCTCATATAGCTGGTACAACAGATTGAGCGAGACAGCTCCTGACCCACAGCCCACCTCCAGAATGAGAGGACCACCTTGGTTCCAACTACATTGGGGATGCTGGGCCGACTCCTCCAGCACCCATTCAATCACTTCCTGAGAGAGAGAGAAAAAAAGAAAGAAGGTCAAAATTACACTTAAGCCAGGTACCTGTTGCTCAGGCCTGTAATCCTAAGTACAATGGAGGCAAAGATATGAGGATTGTGGTTTATAGGCTGCCTGGGCAGGAACACCTGTGAGATTCTTATTTCCAAAGAACCACCAGAAAACTGGAAGTGGCCCTGTGACTCAAGTGATAGAGTGCTAGCTTTGAGCTGAGGAGCTCAGGGAGCTGGCCCAGGCCCAGAGTTCAAGCCCCACGACTGAAAAGAAGTGGACTTCCCACCAGAAGAAGTAGACTGAATAACACCCATTGTCCTAGGGAGCATGGCAGAGAAGTCAGGCTGAGCTTCCTGTCAGCTGGGAGTCATAAGTAGGTCACCCAGCTTCTCTGTGCCTCAGTTTCCCCAGCTTCAAATCTGAACAAAGTGAAGGATCCTGTTCCTCATGGGGATTGGGTATTAAAGAAAGAGAGTCATGTTTTGTTTCATAATCCCATGCCTGTCACAACATTAATAACACACACCATCTGAGATCTTTCCGGTTATTTTCTGTCAAATACTCACAGAACTGCCAAGAACCGTATTCAACAGCACCTCCCTCTCTGCCTGGCCCTGCTCTAGAGATCCCTCTGTATTAATAAATTGTTTTCTCAAAACTGTCCCATGAGGAGATTGAAGTCCAATGGTTGAGGCCCAACCCAGAGCTTCACCTGTGGTCAAAAATGGGCTGCTGTGGACTGAGTTTGTGAAAATCCATCTAAACCACTGACTGAGCTTGGCTCTACATGTCTACCATCCCAACTACAGAGGACCGAGCCTGGTGGCTCATGCCTGTCACAGATAGGAGGACTGTGATCCACCCCAACCTGAGCATATATTAAGTCTCCATCTCAGAAATGCCCAAGACAGAAAAGCTGGTAGAAGACCTGACTGGCAAGCCTAAGGCCTTGAGGTCAAACCCTAATATACCAAAAAGAACCAGAGTCCCCGTGCCAGAGGCTCATGCCGATAATCCTAGGTACTCAGGAGGGTGAGATCTAAAGATCACAGCTCAAGAATTAAAATAGGGTTGGCCTCGCCCATCAGAGATCATGATTGGAAGACCCAGAGTCTGACCTATGCTGTTGCACTCCATACTAGCAGGACTCATATCTTTACTAAATGTTGGCCATGCTCTCTGTCCTCCGGGGAAGCCATCCCCTGCAGGCTGCACTCCTAGGTCCTCCCAAGTTCCCACTGCTACCAACCAGGCCCAAGGGAGTACACAGTTCCAGGGCACACAAATCTCTTGTTCTTGTAATTTAATAGTGCTGTGTCCTGTTCAAGCGTCTCACCTTTCCAGGCTCCCAGACCTCAGCTAGGAAGCCCATGCATGCCAGAAAGATAGCAGGTAGAAGTTACCAAAGCATTCAGCCTCCTTGTTACCACTCACTGCTACACACACACACACACACACACACACACACACACACACACACACACATCCAGACTGGTGACAGAAGACTCATCCATGCAGCACCTGCAATTTGCCAACTGATTACTCAACTGAGCACAGTCAGGCTGTACAAGGAGAAAGATGATCTCTCTCTCTGTCTCTCTGTCTTCAGGTGAAAGGATGACCGAGCACAGAAGACAAGAGTTCACACAGAAAGGGGGGGCCTATCTTCTGCATCCAATGCCTCCCAGCCCCAGAAAAAGGGAAAAGACCCCAGAAGGCAGGTGTGGACATGCTGCTCCCCACCAGGTTCCCACCAGGGAAAGGAAGGGTGCAGATATGCAGCTGTGTGGCTCCCACTGCTCCAGGTCAGGGGCTCTGTGGTGTCCACTAATCACCCAACCCTGCATCTCCCCATTTCCTGAGACACTAGACGCTGGAGATGGGGATGGGATCTCGGGTGAATACCCACCCCCAATCCTGGGGCACATTTATGGCAAGGCGTGGGCCAGATGTGGGGCACAGAGGAGGCGCTGGTCCTGGTTGGGAGGGGAGGTGATATGGGGTCGCAGGGAGCGGGCCTGTGTGGCCGCCACTCACATGTGCTCCTGGCAAAATCTGTTGGCAGCTGCTCCAGGTGGGGCGAACAGCAATGGCAGTGGAATGACGGACATCAGGCCCAGAGCAGAGGACAAGGGGGCCAGGACCAGGTCAGGGCCACAAGCTGGCTAGAGATACACTATTGAACCATTGCCTGACGAATCTAAGAGGCAAAATGGGTTTGAGCCAGCAGCACCAGGTTTGAAATGCTGTGCCACGGGGAAGGGGGGGGAAGGGGCCGGAGCGCAGGCAGACACATGGTGGGCCTGAGCAAGGCCTCTCTTCCTAGGCCTCGAGTCTCTTGCTCATCACTCAGCTACCTCTACCTTCCTCAACTGGTGGTAGTCGTGTCAACCAACAGATGGAATCCCAGTGCTATTGGGCAGTATGGAATGTGGGCATGGCCACCATTCTTGTATCCCATTGGTCAGAAAGAACCATGAAAGGATGGGAGTGTGGCTGGAATCCTGTGATGCAGGCAGAATGGGCGGAGTCAAGATGATGGCAGCCCCTTTCCCAGGGAACTCTGTCCAATCCAGTTGGAGACAAGAAGGTTACCTGCTTTAGCCGGATGACTGGACAGATTGTTGTGTATGTCTGTTTGTTCCCAGTCCCAGACCTTGAACTAAAGATCTGGGCACAGTCTGTGAGCTGCTTTTGATCAAGGCTAGCCCTCTACCAATGGAGCCACATGGCTTTACTTCTGGTTTTGTTGGCACAAATTGGACAGGAGTCTCAAGGACTTTCCTGCCTAGGGTGACTTTGACCATGATCCTCCTATCACAGCCTTGTAATAACAAGGAGGACTGTTGAGAGCCACTGGTGCCTGCCTAATCATTGGTCTTACTGATGTTCTTGGACAGACCTGTGAGTTCCCTATCGTCAGGTTTAAGTGGTAGGAGCTGGAGCCCACAGTTGGAATCCTGGTCCTGCCACCTCCAAATGGCAGGAGATCCTAAGAAATTCATTCCTATTCATATGATTACCAATGGAATGTGATGTATGTCATGATTAAATGGGCAGTTCTTGAATGATTCAAGGTTAAAATTATACACAATTATATTATAGGACACTGGTCGATAATAATTAATACTTTATGAAGCATTTAAACAATCACATTCATTAAATAGAGGCCAAATGAAGTCCCTAAGAATTGAGCATCACATAGCATGTAGATGCCATTTTTTCTGCCAAGACTGGGATTTGAACTCATGGTCTGGGTAACACTGTTGTTGCACTGTGTGGGAAGGGGAAGCTTGCCTCCATGAATTCAAGAAATTTGGTCTGTTCCTTAGGCCTGAAATCGATGCCCACCACCAGAAAACATCCTATTTGTGTGCATTTTAAATATATGATTTATATTTATATACATATGTGGCATTCAGTGTAGTTATTCATTTTATTTTTTGTTTTATTCATGTATTGACTGTTAATTTTATTGACAATTATGACACATAGAACAGTGCTTACATTGATTACATAGGATATAGGTTTGTATATATATTGCACTTCATACCTGACACCCAGGACTTTCACAGAAAAGGAAAACATGTGTCACCATCAGCTTCTTACTCCACAATTCATTTTTTGGGAATGCTGGCATCTGAATCACAGCCTGCCAGGCCCAATTCATGAATGGGTGAGTGTCAGTCTGCTATCATATGGCAAATTTAGCTGACAGGCAGTTCCCAGTACCTGAGATCGAGTCCCTGTGGTTGACAAAATAAGAACAGACTGACATTCAGATGGTAGTACGCTAATAAATAAATATCTTTATAGAGTGCCAGAGATGTCTATACATTATTTAGTTATATAGACTACATTCCTACTAATTCTTGGGTATTTATTATGCCTCCATGTAATTATTGTCATTGTTTTCATTCTTAATGAACTATTAATTAAATCAATCAATATCTTGAAATTATTGCATTCCTGTAAATAATAGTATTCTTTTAATGCTTATAAATATTAAGTAAAATCAGTCTCCTGAAATGATGGGTCTAATTTTATAGGAGTATCATTCACGATCAACTAATTCAACTGTGACATTGATAACATTACCTTGTTATTCCACGCATGGGAACGAGTCTCTTAGTATCTCCTGCCATTGATTGGTGTCAGGACAAGGATTCGAAATCAGGGCCTACATTGCCACGTGGGCCTATGGCTTCCCCAATAGTCTGCCAAACTTCAGGAATGCAAGGTGAAGTACCCTTTGCAACAGTGTCATTCAGACCCAAGAGGGTCACTGTGCAAAGGAAGAAAACATAAAATGGCCATCTCACCGCTTTTTTCTGAATATTTTTGCCACACAAGGCCTGAGGGTCTAGGATCCCAGGATCTGCTGTGGGTCCAGTGGCTGCACCCCAGCATAGGATGATCGAAGCTGAGGCAGAGTTGCCACAACCTGAGTTCAAGCCCCCTGCTGAGCAAAAAAAAAATAAAAGAAATTAGCTCCCTGGCTTGCAATTCACCCCATTTATTCTGCCAGGCTTTGGATTTGAACTCAGGGTCTGGGTAAATCTGCAGCATTGTGAAAGAAGGGGAAGCTCACTGTACTTGAAGATAAGAAAATCAGGCCTATACTTTAAGCCAAAATTCAAGCTCCAGCCTTGAAAAACATACTATTCATATACAATGTAAAGACAGGATTTGTACTTACCTATGGATGCTCAGCCCGTACACGTTTGGTGTGGTTGTTCCTTGTATTTTTGTTTTATTCATTTATTTACCATTGATTTTACAGTGATGACACCCATTGCCTTTATTACATTGATGACATCCTATTACATGGCATCTAAATTTGTAGATGTGTTCTTCATCATGCCTGACACCCAGGACTCTCAGAGAAAAGGAAAAAAATGTGTCGTACTTGGCTTCTTACTCCATGACCCAATTATTGATAGTGCTAGGATCTGAACTCAGGGCCTAGCATGACCAATTGGCAAATAGTTCAAGGTGAACACTCCAGCCTGTGAGCAACAAAGGAGTTAGGCCATTCCCAGTATCTGATATTGATCCCCTGGGTGTGCCACGATAGTCATAAATTCGTAATTTAAACATAGGATCTATATTTACATATATGTGTGGACAGCATCTTGCATTTGGTGTACTTCTTATTGTCTATCTTATGGAAGTATTGTGTATTTTACTGAGTAAGGTGACAGATATAACAATGCTTACATGGATGACAACCTATTGACAAGGCTATAGGGTTTCCTGTGCATTCTCCATCCTAGCTGAGACCCAGGACATTCACAGGACAGGGAAATAGGTGAATCGATGGGCTTCTCACATAAGGATTCATCTTTTGGCAGTGTTGGGATTTGAACTCAGAGCCTACCAGACCCAACTGGAGAAAGGGTCAAGGGTCACCAGCCTGTGAGCAGCGAAGGAGATAGGCCTTTCCCAGGACCTGACATTGAGTACCAGGGAGGGCCAAATAGTAATAAATTCATAATTTAAACATAGGATCTATATTTACATACATGTGTGGACAGCATCTTGCATTCGGTACACTTCTCCCCATTTTGTGTCTAATTCATGGAGTTATTGTGTATTTTACTGAGTATGGTGACAGGTATAACTGCGCTGACATTGATGACAACATGTTCCAATGGTTATAGGGTTGCCTATGCATTCTACATCCTAGTTGAGGCCCGGGACTTTCACAGGAGAGGAAAACATGTACAACGACTGGCTTCTGACAACAGAATGAAATTTTATCCATGCTGGGATTTGAACTGAAGTCTGAGTATCTCTGTTACACTTTGGGGAAAGGGGAAGCTCACTATCCTTGAAGACTAGAATGTCAGGCCTGGTCCAGGGCGTGATTTGAAGCCCCAGCACTGGACAAAATAACAAGCCCACCTTTTTTAAACATAGGATCTCTCTTTACCTACAGGAGTGGTATGCATCTTGCATTCAGTGTAGTTATTCTTTTTATTTTGTGTCTTATTCATGGATGTATTGTGTATTTTATTGAGTATGGTGATAGACATAACTGTGTTGACATGGATGACAACCTATTCCCATGGTTATAGAGTTGTCTATATAGAATTCTCCATCTTCACTGAGACCCATGACTTCATGAGACAGGAAAAAATGTGGATCGTTTGGCTTCTCACATCAAGGTGAATCTTTTGGCAGTGCTGGGATTTGAACTCAAGGCCCAGCAAGCCCAATTGGTGAATGGGTCATGGTGAACACACCAGCCACTAAGGAGCTGGGCCTTTCCTAGGAACAGAGATCGAGCCCCAGGGAGGCCACAATAGTTCTGAATGGATCATTTAAACATGGGATATATATTCACATCTGTGTGTGGACTGCATTGTGCATTTAGTGTAATTTTTCTATTTTGTATGCTATTCATGGATGTATTGTGTATTTTCTTGAGTATATGATGACAAGTATAACTGATCTGACATGGATAACAACCTATTCCCATGCCACAGGGTGGCCCATGCATTCTCCATCCTAGCTGAGACCCAGGACTTGCACAGGAAAGGAAAACAGGTGCAACAATTGGCTTCTGACATTAGGATGAATTTTGGCACTGCTGGAATCTGAACACAGACCTAGCAGACCCAAGTGACAAATGGGTCCATGTGAGCACACCAGCCTGTGAGCCACTGATGAGGAAGGCCTTTCCCAGTACCTGAGATGGAGCCCTTAGGTATTGGGTGCTGGGGGGACGGCACACAGCAGTCTTTCCTTCAAATTTGAATGTAGTTCTTACACCCAGGACTCTAAGAAAAAAGGAAAACAGGTGTCACACTGGGCTCCTTACTCCACGATCCAATTGTTGGCAGTGCTGGGACCTGAACTCAGGGCCTAGCAGATCCAATTCATGAAGGGGTACGTCAGCAAGGCAACTTCTAGCCCAGGAAGCTGCCAGGCAGTTCCCAGACCCTGAGATTGAGCCACAGGGGTGGACAAAATAGCCATACATGGATAGGCAGGTGGTAGTATACCAATATATGTATATATATATATATATATATATATATATATATATATATATATATATATATTTGTATAGAGTGCCAGAGAAATCTACCTATCAACTACATTC